GTTTTGTGGTCCAGGGTCACATATATTCAAAAAAAAAAAAAACTCCCCAGAAAAAAGGACACTTTCTCTCGAGGAAGAAAAAGGGCAGGTGCTCAAGCCCCCTTTGATATCTATGTGTGCACGTGCCTGGTCCAGTTCTTAAACATGTCTTTCAGTCTAACTTGATTACTGATGTATTTTCTATTCACATGTCTTATCCTGCGTGATTAGGATATTTATTTATTTATTTATTTTTCTTCTTGAAAATTACAACCCCATTATCAACACTTACATAAGGCATTACATAAGTAAAATGGAGCTGAAGTGGTCTGCAAATGTTTTTACGGTCAATTTGGACACAATTTTCATTATAAACAGACTCTTTTCAGTTTTCCATTACAGGATGTACTAATATGGCCTTCCTCATTTTTTCTCTCGGACTCCCTTGCTCTCCGCTGTTCAGCCCTTTTCTCCACACCTCAACCTTTTAGTTACATCTGATAATCTGTATAATTATGGGCATTAATAGATGAATAGGTAGTTAGTGTGCTCTATTCTCATGCTTTTTTTATGAATTCACACTGAACTTTGCTTCTTTGCTGTAGCTTTCCAAGTTAGAACCTCATCATTTTCTACAGTATAATACTTAAAAATAGTTATCCACAAATAGGGCCAGGCTAACATAAAAACTATGGGGCTGAAGCCCCAGGGCCCGAGCAATGAAGGTACCCCTGACTGGTTGTGGAGGAAATAAAAAAAAATAGGCCTAGATTGATTGGCCGATGGCAGCTCCTGTACTTTCCCAGTGGGCCAATCGCCGAAACCCCACCCGCCCACTCATATTATTCATCCTTGTCCAGTGTCTGCTATTTCTTTCAAAAAGTTATGAGCGATGCAATATCTTTGCACTGGTTAAAACTAGAGTTGCAGGTATTTTTAATCACCTCGGCTTTACTGGAGCGCATGGGAAACAAACACCAAAAACCATGTGATGAAAAGGTGTTATCTGATTAAACCTTGCAGTGCGAGAGAACAGCTGGACCGGACCGGACCGGACCGGTGATTTTGGCACAATGCTTTCACCGCTCCATTGAAGTGATAACCAGCACTTGATCCATATGAATTTAACGCACGACATAAGTATACAAGCATTTCAAACCACACAGCACCACCCCTATTTAGAAATATGGCATTTTGGTTATTATTATTAATGTCACTATTATTGTAAGCTACTGATAATAAATATTGGCTAATATAAGGGCAAAACATCGCTTTTATAGTTATTGTTTTAGTTTCATGTATTTAAGAATATATATATATATATATATTACATAAAAAACACTCTTTTTTTTCTATTATCTATCTAAGATTTCTGTTTGTGAGTAAAACATGGTGTACAGCAGAAACTATAAAAAAAGACAAAATATATTGCAGGGACTATAGTAGCACCCTGAAGAAGGCTTGAAATGTGTGCTTGGCAAACAACATTAAGATGCTCTATGGCCTGTGGAACATAGGCCTTTTTTTAATCCTCACAACATGAGTACCTTGGATTTACCTCTTTGTCCAGTGAGCACCAGTGGTTACCAATTTGGAGTACTTGCTTTTAAAAGTACTTACGTACCAAAAGTAAATTTCCTTTTTTATGTCAATGCACTGTTTTATGGTTGTACGTAATACTTGCAATACTTCTGAAGCAACTTAGAATACATTACACCTGCTGAATACAGTACAGTGAAATCCTGTAAATACAGAGTGATAAGGAAGAGAAAAAAAATCAAACCTGCTTTAAAACCCAGCAACACAACTGTAGCTGTATAACTTTACAACAGCAACACTGCTTTACCAAAAATGCAAAACAGCAAGACTTATTTGACATCAAAACAAACATTTTAAATGCTGTCTAATCGCTCTTGCTGTTCTTTGATGTCACACACAGAACAGTCTGTGCAGTTCCTGCTTCAGTCCAACACCTTTTGTGTTTTATTAGGAGACGCACAACAGTTCTTCTGTGGCTTTATAGGTAATATTTTCACGTACACAATTGAGCAAAATCAGACAATATTGTGTCTAATATATACCACAATATTAACTACTTATTATTGAATTGTTGTAAATAAATATAACATTTGCAACTGGTCAGTGTTCAAAAAATGCTGGGAAATCACTTCATGAAGCCCCAAGAGTGATTACTAATAAAACAATACTCAAGTAAATGTACTTAGTTACTGTCCGCCTCTGGCTTTCGAAATGTTCTGTTTGCACTCAAAGGTGCAAAGCATCTCAGGATGACTGTTTTTTGAACACTCTTTCTTAGATGATTTCCTCCTTTAAACATCATAGTGGATGATTTCCACCTGAAACCCCCCCAAAACCCCCCTGAAACGATTTCCACGTTTAAACATCATGGTTGATGACTTCCCCCATTTTAAGTGGATGAGTTCCACCTGAAAACATACAACAATCATCCTGAAATTTCCACCTTTAAGTGCAAACAGAATATTTCGAATGGTCATTTCAGTTTTATTTAAACATTTTTAAAAATGTATTTAAACTAATGGTGACTTATGTTTAAAGGGGCTCTTTGTATACACAGACTTTTTGGTCTAAATGAGTATGAGAAGTATGTAAAGAGACTGAAGAGCTGAAGTCCCCATCAAGAGAAAAAGAGAGATGAAGAGAAAACATTAGAGGGAAAGTGAACAGAGCCAACAGGAACTCACTTCTGAAGCTTCTCTGGTTTCTTCTCAGGCTTTTCTTGGTAGGGGATAATAAGGTCGATGGAATTCTCTGGCTTCTGAAGCAGAGTTCCCAATTTAGTCTTGATCTCCTTAGCCCTGAAGACAGCACAAACACAAATCCATACAGATGTCCATTAGCACGTTTAACATACACTAATAAATGATTCGTGTTATGTATGAATGGAATTTCAATTTAAATGTTGAGGACATTTCCAAAATGTACAACATACCTGTCAACAGATTATAAAATATCAGCCTAGTGTTATCTATTTTCTTCTGTCAAAATACACATATTGTTTTACAGAGAATGATAATTTGTTCCATGTAGTTTTTATCCTTTTGCACGTCAGCTATAGAAACCTTTTCTTCACTGCTTATTATTGACCTGTACAGCTGTCATCAGTACAGTAATTACTACAGTTTGACAGATGACACAATAAAACAACACGTGTTGAAGGTGTTCAATTCACACCTATTCAGGACTATTTCACACTCCCTGTAGAGATAAAAACAGATGCAATATCTTTTTTGTATGTTTTGTGACAAAAAAACAAAAACAAATCATATTCCTCCCAGATGACTGTGGATGAAGTGACGTCAACAAACTTGGTGATTTGTTGAGGTTTCGTGAACATCTTGCTGCCACAGACATAGCTACTGTTCCAAAAAATACTGACATCAATGCACACATTTCTCAGCTTAAAAAGCCCATTTATTAAAATTCAGATTTTATGGCTCAATTATCTAATGCAACATTATAAACCACCTCATGTTGCCATCTTAAAACTGTCTTTCTGATGTACAAATAGACTTTTCAGAAGTACTCCAGGCCCCGGGGCCAGACATTAAGACCAAAGCCAAGAACAGTGATAAACATATGTTTACACAGTGAATGAGTCAATAGCACAAATTGTTTAATCAGAGTATGGCCCAATAGTCACAATAGAAGTCCTCATTGCTATACTTCTATGCTAGTCTGTTCTCAGGAATTCTGCTCCAAATCTTGTTATGAACAGAGAACTAAACAAAGTTCAGGGTGTACTGGTTTTTGGTAACATTGGGGAACCTTGATGTTTTCAGAGACAAAACTAAGAAGAAGAAGAAGAAGAAGAAAAAAAAACTAAAAGAAGTGGAAAATAAGATAAACTTAAAATGTACCATACAGTACATATGCACAATACAAAATGTACAATCCTTCAGATTCTATAAAATTTATATTGAATAATTGAAATTATTTAACCAAACGACAACTCTGAGGCCAAATGTTCCTGTGGCTCAGTGGTAGAGCATTGTGTTAGCAGCACAAAAGATTGTGGGTTAGATTCTCAGGGAACACACATACTGGTAAAAAATGTATAGCCTGAATGCACTGTAAGTCGCTTTGGATAAAAGCGTCTGCTAAATGCATAAATTAAATTATTAAATTAAATAATGAATAAAGTTTTCCTATATACAGTGATCAATACTCATTACCTAAACCTCATACAAAACACCATACAGACTTTCTCAAAATGGTATTTTGAGAATTCCCAGCTGCTCCAGAATACACAGATATTGCAAAACACACAAGCACTGTTTCCCAAAGGAGGCTGCCAACCGACTTGCGTAGTTAATGTAGCATGGAGTGAATTTTAAGTTAATACATGGTGCTGCTAAAATGTTTTAAAGATCTTACCTTTCCAGGCATGTCTGGGGCAGGGCAGCTAATCCTTTACACATTTTCTGATCTGTTCACTTTAGGTTTGTAGAGTTATTCCACCACACCAAATGAGTTGTTGTCTGCTCTCTCTTTTAGAAGCTGTCGTCCTGCTTCCCGCTATTATATGGAGAAAGTCTGCTGGCCCAAAGCCAACAACTCAAGAGCCAATCAAGTCCTGGCTTGCAATTACATTCAGAGCTTAGAGAGCTCTGGAGATAATCAACACAAGAGAGGACATTTTTAACTTGCCAAAACACTTGAAACATCAGTACATAGTATTTTAGATAAATATCTATGCTTATCAACAGACAATTAAACCAGTTATTACTATAGAAACACAACAATCTGTTTTGTAAAGTAAATTTATACAACAAATGTTGAATATTAGTTACCCTTACATTAAACCACCTTCTTGTAAGTAGTTGTTTTAAACATTCATGAACTATGATCATCTAACAAAGTCAGTCTAACCATAATTACTACTAGCTATCTACTAAACAGAAGTATAACTTTTTTTGGATGGCCACAATCATAATTAGAAAGACCAAGACCTGTTGCAGTCTAAACTGGAACAGATGGAAGTAACTCTATTATGTACCTTATGATAAATATAAAAGAGGGTAATGTATTTAGAATGTCAGTACAACAAATTGACAAATTCATGTAAGCATAATGACAGTAAACTTAAAAAATGGTGTGTTTATACAACTAATCTCCAAATACATACATTCATAAACAATGCATTAGCAAACTGTATTTTTAGTATCATAATTTGCTTTCCACTGGATTTTTTGAAGGTCTTTTCTGAAATGCAGTATTTTCATTATTTGCATTTAACTCATAAAAATAAGTAGAAATAATTAGGCATATGCTTTCTGTGTAGGCCTACTCATACAGCACATTCCCCAGAGTCATTGAAGTATAAAAAAAAACATATTCAAATGTTCTTTCTGAGGAATGATAATGGAAAATGTGGACACAGTATTGTCTCTTTTGGAGACAACTAAACAAACTCTCAATTACACAGATCTGCTAGAACATTGCACAATAAAAAAAAAAAAAAAGATGCAATGAAAAAAAGAAGCCAATCCCAATCAAAGGTAGCTTGAGAATTTTTTTAAATATATATATAATGGAGAAACAATATGAGCTGTTCTTGTTACAACAGTAAGATTTATGTGAAATTTATGGTGGAGTTTTGTTGTTTTCATAAACACCCTCAATAAATAAACTGCTCCCAACTATAATTTAAGTCAGTGTTTTACTAAAATTACATAATTACATTTCACCAGAAGGGCATTGCATTTGTCTAAACTTACACTGTAAATGTCTTTTTTTTAATGATCGATCAAACTACCTGACTTACGGCATTTACTGTAAACTAAAGAATGCTGTTTTCATCAGAATTAAACCATACAGCAAGTTGTCATGCTACAATAAATGAGTCATCAATAAAACAAGCAATGCTATGAAGCATTTATGTAATCTGGGTAGCATATGGCCTGCATGTGACTTTCATAACATCCCCATACAATACATTTTTTATGAAATATAGTGTGATAATAGGAGCGTCACGCTACAGCAATGTTTAAACGTTTTTTTGTTTGTTTCCAGATACTGTATATTTAGTGAGGAATAAATGTTATTATTCAATAATGCTATGCTAAATAATGCAAACATGGCCAGTGGCAATGTTCATGGATTGGACAAACACAGAGCAGTTGGTAGGCGAAGGGTTTGTATGCTTAAGCCACTTTCATTGCTGAACTTGCGATCTTATTATCCGCCTTATTCTTGACAAGCCTACTGCTTTTTGAATTATGGGTGGTACTTCTGGTTTGGGGAACTTCCATTCAAAAAAACTAAAACTAATCATTTTAAACCAGTGTTTCTCAACCCTGGTCCTGGGTGCCCCCCAGCACTGCACATTTTGTGTGTCTCCCTAATCAAACACCTGATTCAACTCATTAGCTCATTAAAAGAAACTCCAGGACCTGAAATGGGTGTCAGATAAGGGAGACATACAAAATGTGCAGTGTTGGGGGGCGCTCAGGACCAGGGTTGAGAAACACTGTTTTAAACCATAAGGTTGCCCTACAAATAAAGCTTATCCGTCTATTTGACTGAATGAGCTGTCGATTTTCCTTCATAATTTATTTTCAGATATAATGAGAATAACGTAACTCATGGTATTTTAACGTGACATGTTATAACAAGAATATCTATGGCAAGAGCCATTGTCACTGCTGTCAGGATGATGGACTGTCTGTGTCATGTTTTGCCCTTGTTTCTGCTCCCTGATTTGGTCATGTTCCTGTCCTCGTTTTGTTATTAGTTTGATTAGTCATCCCATACACCTGTGTTTCCCCAATCATCCCTTGTATTTAAGTCCTAGTCTGTCTCTGTCGGTTCTACTCGTTACGTTGAGGTGTTTCCTGCTGTCTCCAGTGTTGATGTACCCTGTGTTCCATGGATTAAAGACTGTTTCGTTTATTCCTCATCTCCATCGTTCCTCGCCATCACAGATTGTGACTACATTCTTTTCCACATGATTATTTTCTTTTTTCTTTTCTTTGCATACCACTGTAATAGTATGAAAAAGGACAACATGCTGAACATTTGTGGTCTGTTCTCCCGATATGATGTACGACCCAGATAGTGCACATACATCTGCAAGATGTTTGTTAAAGATCGCTTCATCTGGAAAGCATCTGCTGTGTACAAACATCTGATAGATGTCTTTCAGATGTCAGTTTCATATACATTCTAAATCATAAACATCTTAAAGACATTTTCTAAACGTCTATTTGACTTCTGATAGGAAACGTCCTATAGACGTTTTGCAGATGAGCAAACACCCTTAAAAAAAAAAAAAAAAAAAAAAAAACATCTTGCAGAAGTCAAAAAGATGTCTCCGTGATGTACGTGTGCTATCAGGGCCTCCTCTCTGGACGTCTAATGGGGTGGAGGGATAGAATTGTGGGTATGGTTAGGGTGTGGTTGGATATTCTAGCTCCATCCATTAGGCACAAATTACATTCGCTCCTCCTCAGTTACAAAATCACAGAATTGCAAAATGTAAACATTTCATTAAAAAAAGTTGAGGGAAAAAGTCACAATTCTATAAACTGTGAATTGTGAAAAACAGAATCAGAATTCTGAGTTTAGGCCAATAGTTTAGGCCTATATCTTGCAATTTAGATTTTTCGCAGAATTGCAGAAAAAAAAGTCCAAATAGTGAGATAAAAAGTTACAATGACCTTTTTTATTACTTGGCAGAAACATGCTTCTATATTATAAAGTATAAGTGCATTAAGTATAGCGTGACTATTTCAATTAGCTATTTTGGTTGTTCAGAGCTATCTGACATATCTATTATAAAAATGGGTCTTTTTTGGGGGTAATCATTGTACTGATCAAAACTCCATATACAGGCTCTCTCCCTGTGCAAAGCTCATATCAGAAACTCAACTTGCTGTGTATCATGTTCGGATACCATTTATGTCCAATGATTGGGCATGTGTACAACAATTACTCTTGACTTCAGCAAAATTAAACAATTTTAACCTATAATAGACATGCTTGCCAGACAGGAAAGCAAGCAAAGCTTTTCTCCAATGTGCTAGCAGGTATTTCTGCAAACACTATTATCACCTAATTGCAGGTTTTTGTCTCAGTCCAAACAGTTTGTTTAGACTTGCAGCTAATGCTTTGGCAAGTCATTTCCTTCAAAATCACACAACGGAAGGAACTGATAAATTCATATCATTGTTTTAGGGGCTGGCGCTCAATGATTTTATGATTATAGTTGAACCACCTTTCACTACTGTTTTAATAAAGCCACAAACCCTGTTACATAATCTCCATACAATAGTTTTTTTAAAGACTAATTATTAATAAAGAAATGTGAACCATGGTACTCCAAATTCTTTTGATCTTTGATCAGAACATACTTTCAGAACTGAAATCTTTCACAGTCAGAAAGAGCATTTGAAACCATTTTTATTGCAAATAAGCTGCAGTCACAAAAGGACAGAATACAATAAGATACTATTATTTCTGAACACCAGAAGTACTAGTGATAAAATATGTGAATGTTTTCCGAACCTTGTGTTGTTTCTAGTTGTATGTAGCATCTAGCTCTGTATACTTAATCTGACGGATCCCAGTTGCATTGTTTATTAACATGTGCTGTTGTTTTAGCAGCCAGTTCACCAAAGAAATTATGGAAATCATATAATGACACAACCATGTCATTTATTACAAAAGAGGAAGTGGACAATAACTTAGTTTAAAACAAAACAAAAAAAAAGAGTTACAACTGAGTATATATCCGCACCCATGTGTCTGACCTGCTCCATGTAAAAAAAAAAAAAATCTATCAATCCATCAATTAACCAATTAATCAATTAATCGATTCTCAATTACTAGCAATTAATTAATTATAATAATGAAAATGTTAAATAAAAAAAAAAATTGTTAGACTGCTGATATGACTGCAGCTCATGAGAGTATACATAAATATTCAAAACTACCATATGTACACTACTGTTGAAAAGTTTGTTCCTTTTGAATTTTCAGATTATATCAGATTCCTGGAAAAATGCATCATGGTTTCCACAAAAATATTAAGCTGCACAACTGTGTTCAGCATATAATAATAGTAACAAATGTGTCTTGAGAATCAAATCAGCATATTAGAATGATTTCTGAAAGATCATGTAACATTGAAGACTGGAGTAATGGCTGCTGAAAAATCAGCTTTGCCATCAAATAAATAAATGACGTTTTAAAATATATTCAAACATTATTTGCGATTGTAATAGTACTTCACAATATTGCTTTTTTTCTGTATTTTTGATCTAATAAGTGCAGCCTTGGTAAGCATAAGAGACTGTTTAAAAAACATTTAAAACAGTATTGCATTTTTTTGAATGCACCTTTTAATGAAAATGATGCCAAGAACGTTCTTCTGATAATGTTCACAACATGGAATATGATAAAGACATGCCAAACCCAACATGACGTTGAAGCTAATCCATCATGTCTGGTTTAGAGCTTCTTCGATCTAGTGATAGCCAGCAAATGTTTGCCCAATAACCTGTGGCAGAT